TAGGGATGCATGTGCTTATCTCAAGAATCAAAACATGGGGAACAATAGCTATAGTTCCAGAGCGGGTGCTTGTTTACTTGTTTAATATAATACGTCTGAACATTCAATAAAGACCCTCAATTCCATAAACAGAGAAAAATCAAAATTGCTTTCTTCACTAACCAACTCTTTAAATTTTTATAAAACTTAGAGCTTAACGCTTTTTTCGTGCTTTTTGTGAGTATAATACAGTCAATAATTTGAAATCTTTCACGAAAGTTGTATATAAAGTTATGTACGTTTTGCACATGGTTTTGATATTATTTCTTTGTAATGTATGAGATATTGTAGCATGCAGCTGGTGGATAATGTGAAGCTATTATCCATTTTTTTTCTTTTCCCTTGATGTAGGTGTAAAAGATAAAATGTTGTCCACATCTAATTAAGTAACAAGAAACAAACAATGATTAAATTTATTGTGAGTCTGACTATGAAGCATGCTGCCCCAAGAGAATGTCTGTGTTGCCTTTATGGTAGAGTTGGCCTTGGACTCACACATAGTATAAGGGTGGACCACTTTTTTGTCGTATCAATAAACTGAACTTAGTGTGACACTGACTACAAAAGATATCAAAAAGCGTTTTATTCAGTTGTATTTCACTTTTCAAATACAACGTTTTGCAGTTGGTTCATCGATGTCACTAGAGTGTTATGATGACGCATACGATGTGAAAAGTCTGGTTATTGGACTCATAAAAGAAGATGACTGAAGTTATTCTGACGCTTTTTGAACTGAACTGATTTCAGATAATAATAGTTTGTTTGTTTTATAATTTTGCGCAAAGATATCCAAAAATCTGATTGTCCATAGTCGCTCCTAATTCTGAGCTGGCAGACTAGAGGAAAGGCAAGTAGTCGTCAACACCCACCAATTGCTCTTGGGCTACTTTTGTCCGATTGAAAAGTGAGGTTTGACCGTCTGGATTGTAGCACACCCACTGTTCCAAAACTTGGATCGCGTTTTTGCGGCAACTGGCCGTGAAACATGAATCCTCAGGTAATAGGAGTACAGTGGAGCATGGTATTATTGTCTCGGAAGAACAAACATGTAGCATTGTATATTAAAATAACCAACGTTCAGGAAGGTGTTTTAACTACTTAGTAAAACACAGAAACCATCGTAGAATGAACACGTGATATATCTATGGTGTTTACTCATGTCATAAAACTTTATCATTATTTGTACGGAATTGGATTGTTCAATCTCAAAGGCACTTTAAGCGTATCTGGTCTAAACGACCAGGTCAGATAACACCTAGAACTCAGGTATAACTGTCAATAAATATGAAGTAATTAAAGAAGATACAGCCACCCAAAAGCACACCCTGCTACAAGGAATAAGGGGATTGACTGTCACTTTATAATACACTCACAGCTGAAAGCACTGAGTATGTTGAACGGCATCACATATCGAATTTTGGACACCTCGATCTGCAGCGCCACACCTTATCGACTAGACTATACCTGGCTTTATCTATACTGAAACGCACAGTTGTACTGAAATCTTCACACTTGTTTTAATGACATTGTTATACTTCACTCTACAAAAGATGTACCACAAGTCTCTGTTGCTTGTTTCGATAATATAAATTGGCCTAACGCCTTACCTTATTTGTCCGTCTAGTATCGCAGGTGAGTAGATCAGTTGCACACTTAACATCGCAGATGAATAGATTATACACTTAACATCGCAGATGAATAGATTATACACTTAACATCGCAGATGAATAGATTATATACTTAACATCGCAGATGAATAGATTAATCTGCGATGTTAAGTGTAGAATAGATTATACACTTAACATCGCAGATGAATAGATTATACACTTAACATCGCAGATGAATAGATTATACACTTAACATCGCAGATGAATAGATTATACATTTAACATCGCAGATGAATAGATTATACATTTAACATCGCAGATGAATAGATTATATACTTAACATCGCAGATGAATACATTATATACTTAACATCGCAGATGAATAGATTATATACTTAATACCGCAGATGAATAGATTATACACTTAACATCGCAGATGAATAGATTATATACTTAATACCGCAGATGAATAGATTATACACTTAACATCGCAGATGAATAGATTATATACTTAACATCGCAGATGAATAGATTATACACTTAACATCGCAGATGAATAGATTATATACTTAACATCGCAGATGAATAGATTATATACTTAACATCGCAGATGAATAGATTATACACTTAACATCGCAGATGAATAGATTATACACTTAACATCGCAGATGAATAGATTATATACTTAACATCGCAGATGAATAGATTATACACTTAGCATCGCAGATGAATAGATTATACATTTAACATCGCAGATGAATAGATTATACATTTAACATCGCAGATGAATAGATTATATACTTAACATCGCAGATGAATAGATTATACATTTAACATCGCAGATGAATAGATCAGCTGTATACATAATATCAAGGATGAAAGCACTATATACAGTTCAATAAAAACTCTTAGTTAAGTCTAAATATTTATAAAGTGCAATGAAAATTTATTTTAAGACTTAAATCTACGACTTTGGTAAATTATAGGTAAGAATGCCAGTTTTATTTTTAAAAACCGTCAAAATGAATAACTATAGAATTGATAAAAGGTGCAAATAGGTCGTGAAAAAATATTTAAATTCTTAGCAGAATCGTGTCATAAAAACACATCTCTGTATTATTTTCGATGAAAGATGACTAAAAGATAACAATTCTAGTTCCTTTTTAACTTCTAATTGATTTCACATTTTTGAATAGACAACTTTGATTTGGTTTATATATATATATATATATTCCCAATTAAGATTATACTCTTCAATCTACCTTTGTAAATTACCAACTTCAGCACGATATTAATTTTAATTTCTCACAAAAATACACATATACTATATGTCAAAATGGCCCGGCATGGCCAGGTGGTTAGGTCGTAATCTGAGGGTCGCGGGTTCGAATCCCCGTCACATTAAACATGCCAACCGCCCCCTTTGCCTGGTCCCAAGTCCAGGATGAGAAAGGAGGAGGCTTGGACGCGGGGCTAGCAA